TGTTTAATTTGTAGAAAAAGTGTGAATTAATTCACATCAGATTTGTGTTAAAACATCACTTGAAACATAAAATATTCATTGCATTAGCACTGAATGTAATTATAATTATCATTACTGAGAGCAGAGAGAGAGAGAGAGAGAGAGAGAGAGATGTGACAATAGAGTGCATACCATTGTATTCAAGAATATTTTTGGTAAATATTATGTTCACAAATTCAGTACAATATATAGTCTGAACTCAATGTCAACACAAAAGTAGAGATGATTTGAATTTCAATCACTTTATATTTTATGTGAATAACAAAAACAGATAACGTTAACAAAAATTTCTTATTCAATACGAGTGGAGACAAAACGAGTAGAAATTATTTCACAAAATAATAATACAGTAAATAATTGTTTGTTCACAAGAAGAAGAATTACAACAAACACTTCAATTGAATTCTCAATCATTGAAATGTGAATACATTTGGAAAGAAAAATGCATTTTATGTATTCATCAAATGATAGGTTTTGTATTAAATTATTGTTTAAAACAATAGCCGAAATTAAATATATGTTACGGACATATCGTATGCAAACCATACGTTATAATAAGGGATTAACGATTAACCCACAGACTGATTATTAAACCATTGATTTTGCCGAGAAATTGATTTCTATCCATAATAGTTAAACAATTGTTTGTAATTTTGATAATTTAATCATATTTCAGTATTTACATATTTAAATATTTATCATTTTTATTCAATTATGATAATATGTGCTAACCTCTGATCTCATCCCATTGTCCTTAATCTAAATAATTGTAATTTAATTATAATAATCGGAAACGTTATAAAAGATGAGTTTAGTATTACAGGTAAAGCACTCAAAAAACACTGATTAGTCTCGTTTAATAGGATTATTAAATATTTATGCTTTTAAATAATTTAAATATAATGCCAGACCAAATTTATTTTTTATTCTTTTAATTATTTAATTATTAATTAAATTATGAATATTATAATGAATTTATAATTTTCAAATAAGCTGTCGAGTATGGTATGAATGCACACCCCGTCTATGACCTAAACAGTAGAGTTAATTGAATCATAAATAATATGATCGATTGTTAAGTATTTTAAATAATTAATATTAAACTTATTGAATATTCATTTGAATATTAAAATCCCATTCAAACCATTTAAACAAAAGTTTACAGTTTCATTGCAATATAATTGCTTTAACTTTGTTTAAATTTATTATTTAAATTTACAATCACTATAACTTTTGTATAAGTTTTATATGGTATATAATATTAACTTATATAAAACAAAATAGACTGAATGCAAATTTTATTGATATTATATAATCACATCAATAAAACTTTGCTTAACATAAAACTAAATGTTTAAAAAGCTATAAGAATTCGGATATGATTTGCAGAAAGATGAGTTTAGTATTACAGGTAAAGCACTCAAAAAACACTGATTAGTCTCGTTTAATAGGATTATTAAATATTTATGCTTTTAAATAATTTAAATATAATGCCAGACCAAATTTATTTTTTATTCCTTTTAATTATTTAATTATTAATTAAATTATGTATATTATAATGAATTTGTAATTTTTAAATAAGCTGTCGGTTATGGTATGAATGCACACCCCGTCTGTGACCTAAACAGTAGAGTTAATTGAATAATAAATAATATGATCGATTGTTAAGTATTTTAAATAATTAATATTAAACTTATTGAATATTCATTTGAATATTAAAATCCCATTCAAACCATTTAAACAAAAGTCTACAGTTTCATTGCAATATAATTGCTTTAACTTTGTTTAAATTTATTATTTAAATTTACCATCACTATAACTTTCGTATAAGTTTTATATGGTATATAACTTATATAAAACAAAATAGACTGAATGCAAATTTTATTGATATTATATAATCACATCAATAAAACTTTGCTTAACATAAAACTAAATGTTTAAAAAGCTATAAGAATTCGGATATGATTTGCAGAATATAAAAAATACAATCATATTTTGCTTAACTATTATTATTATTTTATGGAGAGTACACTGTATTGTTGTATAACTTTATTGTGTAATCTTAAATGCTTTTCACAAAAAAAAGTAATGACAACACAATACAAATATAATGCTCTCAATCGTGATGTTAAGAGTTTTTGTAATATTTAATATTTTAGATAATAAATCAATAAGTATTTAATGCATTCAATGGGAAATTATTGGTCTATTTTATGGCCATTGAGTCGTGTGTTTTGGATATTAAATATCACAATAATCTAAATTTATTAAACGTTTGTTTAAATTGTTTTCCACTTTCCCTCAGTTTTGCACAATTATTACGAAAACACAAATCAATTCAAACCCTAAACATGACAGACATATCAATGAATTTCCTGTCTCAACACTCAATCTCGCAAAACAAACAATTATTTATACAACAAATAAATTTTTAATGTATTTTTTATTTTATTACTCAATAATACCGAGCCTTTTGTTATAGAGTAGACAACAAAAAACCAATTAAAGTGTATAGCTTTTGGTTATCCAATTTAAAACACATCTCCGCTATGAAAACCATCAAAAATATCATTTTTATATTAAGATATCTAAACTAAAATAACGCAAAGACATCACCCATAGGTGTTCCACGTGTGTCAACCGGATGGCCGTGAATTCAGCTTCTTGTGTCCCAACAGTACCCTATATCACCAGAAGGTGCAAACGTGTGATTGGTGGTATAATGTCGACTGCGCCGCTTCACCCCGTTATTACTACCTGAACGCCAGGATAGGAGTCCTGCCCGGCATTGACGCCACGCTATTCCGCTTCGACCCACCCGTCCGTCGCCTGTAGTCGACGTCCGCCACAGAATATTCTTGATCTTCGCATTTGTGTCGATAATATACGACAAATTCTGGCACTTTTGTTATGAACTCTGTATTTCTTTGTAAAATTGTGTTTTTATTTCTATATTTTATATTTAATATGCTATAAATATTTTACACATTTTATTACATAATAATTTTTATGAATTCCAGACAATAACAGTAATAATAATAAAAACATGAAATTAATTTTTTGGAAATGAAATTGCATTCAAAAACATATAAGTATATACTGTATAAAAGTGGGTGTTTTTTACTACCTCTCCCATAATCTGCGATTATATTCAGTATTTATAGTCACAGAATAATTAGTCATTAAGCGAGGGGTTGTTTTGCGTAAATGATATCATTTGGGTTTGTATTTTATGTTTGAATATATATTTTTGTTTAAGAAAAAAGTTATTTATATAAGAATCCTTAATATTAGACAAAATTTTAGGACAAAAAGTGTCTAAATTTATGATCATATTGTGTTAGTGATTATAATGCATAAGATTTGTATATAATACTACCCTATTATATAACGATAAAACAATTAGCAGTTAATTAATGTAAAAAACTTAATAGAAAAAGAAGCAAAAGTTTCATTTAGTATTTTGCATAAAATGTTAATAAAATCTCTAAACATTGAGAAAAAGTGAATAATAAAGCAAACAATTAATAGTCTCTTACATAAAGAATCTCTCCTTTCAAAGCATTTTCAAAATATTATTATTAATAATATTATTATTTAGAAGTTTTGTTAATAATTTTCATGAAAGACATGAGTATAGCATAGAAAATATATAATTCTTTATATTTTTGTGTTTCAATGACCTAAATATTTGGCCAAAATATACAGCCACTTAATGATGCGCTCTCTCTCTCTCTCTCTCTCTCTCGCTTTCATTTAGTTATCAGCACTCTTTATATGACACAAAACATTTAACAGCACTTAAACAATAATTAAAAAAATAAAATAAAGCAAAAACAATTAAAAACAAACATTATTGAAATAAGTAATTATAAATCTCTCCCTCTTTCTCCCTTTCACTTACTCTCTCCGAAGACAAACCAAAAAATGAAAGACTTTTGTTTTTATAAAAAAAATTAATATTCAAAATAACTCATAACAAAGTGTTGAGAAAATATTAGATATAATAATAATATAATTATAACAGCAAATGACTGGTCGTTCAGTGAGGAGGCAGTAAAGGGACAACACTTACAGTAATACTTATAGTAATCTTAAGATACAAAATATTCATTTAAACTAATAATCAAAGGACTGTTGGTTATCGTCGACGTTATCGAGGATAGGCTCCGGTTCCTCATCCTTGGTCTGCACAATAGGTCTAATACGTGGCGGCGATGGCGGCGGTGGTGGCGGTGCGACCGGACGTCGGGGCGATGTTTTGCCTGAAGGTCTGGTCACCGGTCGGGACGGCGATACTGGACGCGGCACTATTGGCGCCGGTCTTGTTTGGGTCGATGGACGGGGCGTAGGAACAGGTCGAGGGACGGGTGCCGGCGGGAGTTTTTGGATGGGTTGTACCGGTCGTGGGGTTACGGGTCGCGGCGCTGTTTTACGGGGCGGTTGCACCTGCGGTCGCGGACCCGTTACCGGTCGGGTTGGGAACGACGGCTGGACTTTGCTTTGCGTCGGCGGCTGATAACGAGACGGTTGCGGACGAGTGGCCGGTTGTTTGGGTAGCGGGGGTTGCTTTTGGGGCGGAGGCGGCTGTGGGATGGGTTGCTGAGGAATTTGAGGGCTCTGGTAGTCATCGTAGTCGCCGTCATCTTTGGTCTGAACGGGTTGTGTGGGTATTCTCGCCGGTTGTTGCGGTCGCGTAACACTAGGGGTGGGCACTCGGGGTCGGGTCACAGGTAGAGGTGCGGGCGCTGGTCTCCGTGCCGGTGGTTGAGGCATTTGTGGTCGTTGATAGTCATAATCGCCATCATCTGGAGTTTGGACGGGTTGTGACGGTATTCTCGCCGGTTGTTGCGGTCGCGTAACACTAGGAGTGGGCAGTTTGGGTCGGGTCACTGGTAGGGGTGCGGGCGCTGGTCTCCGTGCCGGTGGTTGAGGCACTTGAGGGGTTTGGTAGTCGTAATCGCCATCGCCTGGAGTTTGGACGGGTTGTGACGGTATTCTCGGCGGTTGAACGCGAGGAACACTCGGAGACGAAGGCTTTCTTGGAGGCGGAACCGGTGCCGGAGCCGGCGCTGGTCTTATACCCGGCAGAACACCCGACTTTGGCGGACCTCCCGGTGCGGGTTCAGCGCCTGCTTTGCCTAAATTATAAATTAATTTAAACAAAACGATAAATTAAGTAATTTTTACAATAAATGAAAATATTTACCTAATTCTTCATTAATTGAGTAGAAGTTAGGCGTTTGCGAGCAGTCGACTGAATGCCAATAATCACAGCCGAGAATCGCCTGATTGAAGACCGTTCCCACACCGCACAGGAAACTCTCTTTCCTTCCCTGGAAGCACATGTGATAGGCCTGGCATTGGGTCTCCATATCGGCGTACATTCCCGGTTCAAACGGCACACCATTGCACGTGAAATCAGTTTTGGGTATTTGCATATAGCCGGGAAAGTCGACGCCTGGCGTTCCCATCACTCCTCCATATATGGGTGGCTCGGGAACGGACTCTCCCTCATCGGCGCTATTGAACTGTCCCTCATCTTCTTGAGGGGTCGGCACTGGACGTCGAGGTGCCGGCGGGCGAGTCCTTTGCGGAGCTCCGGCATCACTAATGTCTACCTGTGTATCGAAGACAGGCGGCGGCGGTGGGGGACGACCTTTAACTCCCTGTCGTTTGGTCTGTATTGAAAAGTTTCAACACTTTGTTTAATTTAATGAATAAGTTTTGATTATTGTTTATGAGTTGACAAACATATCCGAAATTTTTTTTACTATCTATGTATACAATCCTTGAAAATTGTTTTATCTTTTTTGCTATTGATTTTAGTAAACACTTATTAAGAAAAATATTATTTTTAAAACAAGTGTTTAATTTGTAGAAAAAGTGTGAATTAATTCACATCAGATTTGTGTTAAAACATCACTTGAAACATAAAATATTCATTGCATTAGCACTGAATGTAATTATAATTATCATTACTGAGAGCAGAGATTATATAAAATCTTATTATTCTTAAGCCTAGAAGTGAATTATAGTCATAAGCATTAGATAGACTCTATCTGTAGAGTATTGTATTGTTATATAAGCATTAATAAAATTATCATAACATATGCTCTGTTGGACAGACTGTCGGTGCAATCATACAAAACAATTAAACATGACATTTGTCTGAGAGATTTATATAAAGATTTAAATGATTTGACATTTAAATGTCTAGTATTTGTTAACATATTTTATGGATTAATATTTTATTAAATTTAGTTTAGATTAGATTCTGTCTGTCTGTCAACAATATTTCAAATTATGAAACTTTTATTTCAATTTAAAATACAATTTTAGAAGAAGATGGAAAATACTTAAAATAACTCAAAACTTATTATTTTTGATATTTCATTACAGAATATTTTATACAATATAACAAATAGTTTTCCAGCTCATAGATATTAAACAATATATAAAATTCAATATATGTATTTATATTTAACTAAAAAAATATTTATTGTATCTACAAATCTATATGAAAAAGTGAAATCAAAATAAATATAAACTTGTAATAAAACTTACCCGAACATTTTGAGAGTCGACCGAAACGCTCGACAAATATAAAATCACTAATAATAATGAATATTTAATAAACATAATTTTGTTTTTAAAATGTTTACACAATTAAAAATGTTTATTATTTAAACACTGAATTCAAACAACGCGTTAAGCGTTGAGAAGGGATTGTAATGAAAATATATAAGTTTTTCACTTCACATAAGTTGTAATTTGATATTAAAAACTACTTTTCGCACAAAACAGAAAAGTCAAAAGCGATTGTTGTCTGTATTAGTGAACACTTCTTATTACTGGATCCGAAACAATGACTTAACTTTTATAACAAATGACTTACAAAAGGGAGAGAGAAATAAATAAATAAATTCGCTATCAATTCGCTGCTTAAATAACTGCTCAACGATTGCCTCAATTATTTTAGACTCGACTGCTTTTTATTAACAAGTTAAACGTAAAATACTTTTTAACTCAATTCAACTCAAAGGTAAAGGAAGTCTTTTATGCATAATATAGTGGTTTTAACGGTGAATATGGGAGAGAATGTGAAGGAAATGAGAGAGAAATGGGAGATAATGGGAGAGCAGGAGAGAGAAAGGGAGAGAGTGTGAGTTGAAGGAGGAGAAGAAGACCCAAATTCTTCACTCGAAAGTGAATATTATAAACGATAGGATGGGATATGACTGCAATATTATACACACAACAACACTGGTTATTGTGAATGTAATCATAATATTATTTTAATGTCAGTCATATTTAATAGCGATTAATACATTAAATATTCTCAAAAAACACAACACCCGGTGAACACGATTTTAATTAAATAGTCACTCGAGGGGCAGTGCTTCCCAATTGTGTTACATTAAGTCTCTCTCTCTCTCTCCCTCTCTCTTACTCTCAATATCAATAATTTCATTCTTCTTTTAACACAATAATATTTATTAATTTACAATATGGTTGTGAATGTCTGATTGCCAAATGATATTAGAGAAACTAATATGAATGTCGGTCTAGAAATGGTCAAGGTAGACAGTCTACAGATAAAATAACAATATAAATTTAATTTTACTAACAAGTAATGTGGTAAGTTAATGAGATAATTCTACAAACAATATTTAAATCATTATAATTTACTAAATATAGGCACACATTTGAATACCTTCTCAAAGCCCTCACATCTTCCCTGTAATTGAGAACAACTTTTGATTTTTACACCATTTTTCAAAGTATTTTTAATTTTTGTTGTTTTGAACAAACATTTAATTTCAATAATTTGTTATTTATTTTTTTCACAACTTTTGTTATTATTATAAGAATAACAAAATATAAGTAGATTTTTAGTAAATATAATACAAATGATGGGAATAAGGGTCACAAAGTCAAGGATGAGAACAATACCATCGCTTTCTCAAAATACACTTAAATATATCTCGATATCTAAATATGAATCTCTTTTGTCTATGAGAATCGTATTTATAATTATTCTCCACTTATGTGTTGCAAAGTATTCACAAGTTTTTGTAATAATATTGAAATTGTTTTAAAAATACAAAAAGTATATACAGTATTGAAATTGTAAAGTTGTAAATATGGTAAATATATTGTGATTTCATAGATGAGATTGAAATAACAATTATTTTACTCAATAATTCAATGAAATCTTTCTCAACAATTATCAGATGTTTTCGCTATTTTTAGATAACTATCATTATATTTACTAAACAAGATTTCTCGGATATAATTTTTATTATTTGCTATAAGTATCTTATTTTGAGAAATATAAATAAACATATGAATAAACATATAATTTATTTACTGATAATTATAATAACAAATTGTGACTTTTAATAAAATTATTAAATATAAACAATAATAAAATGCTTAAATTCAAAGTTATATGTGTTTTATATAAATATATTCATAATAATTAAATAAACATATTTTGCGTGAATTATTTATTTTGGAAAGACTTTCATTTGAATACAATGCAAAAAATGTAATTTATATTTAAATTAACCGTGATAAATAAAAGTATATTTATAAATCATAAAATTCTTTACACCTTTCATTAAAATAATTTTAAAATATTTTGTTATATACAGTTACAATCATAATAAATATGATAATCCATTTGTGGTTTATATATGCTTTAAATGTAAAGATAATTGTATTATAAAATAGCAAATAAGGAAAGTTGTGCTTAAAGAAGAGTTTTAAACACAATTAAATTGTATCTAACAATGAATACCACAAGAAAAGCAAAATAATTTAATGGATTATAATTAAATAACGAGAAACAAAAGCATACAATAAAAGCTAATCCATTATTTTGTTGAAAAGTTTATAAAAGAGATTTTTGGCACTTTTTCTTAGCTTTTTTGTTCGCAAAGAAATGTATTTTTAAAATTTTATTTTGTTTAAAAATAATTTTGTTGTATTGTGTTTTTACTTTAAATTAAAATCTCTCTCTCTCTCTCTCTCTCTCTC